CAAACAAAGATAACTAAATCATACCGAACTTAGTTTTTTTCACACATATATATAACTGTCCTACTCTCTTATCAACGTATCTAACCTATCTCATATATACGAAAATTACAATCACAAGCTAACTTGTTAGTTACAACACACATTCAAATGGCATTTATTCCTATGGTGAGTATATATCTCTTCCCATTATCATATAATAATTGGTCATACATTCATTTCTCAGATGCTAACCCCAATATCTATAAATTTTTTGTTACCATGGGCCCATCAGAAACAGTGCACTCGGGGACTTGCCTCCTCCACCACCCCTAGGCTGGCGGCCACCTCCGTGGGGGCCGCCCACCACCACCAAAGCGCCCATTCCGGCGGGTTTTTGAGGAGGATAGGGGCCCAGGGCCCGATGGGTGTGGTTATCGGCATCATTGGTGGTATGGTGGGTTTGGCCGCGTGCATCGGAATCCACACCGCCAAGCAACAGCTCCTCCATTCCCCTTCCGTGCAGGTAGGCCTAGCCGAGTCGAGCTCGAGCTCAGGTCGTTTATCAACAATAACGAGTCGAATTATAGAAAATTATATAAAAATTCACTTTTCGAGTTTTAACGAGTCTTATCAAGCCGAGCCGAGCTCGTATCGTTAACCAAACGAGCTTCAGATGAGCTCGAGCTCGACTGGTTTGTCAAACGAGCAGAGCCAAACTCGAGCCTTTACGAGTGAGACTCGTTTAATTTAACAGCGCTACGTGCAGGTCACCAAGAAGAGGAGGGAGTGCATCCCGGAGGTCGAATCACCCGACGATATCGTCAGCTCGGCCGACAAGTTTGTCCACAAGTCGTTCCTAAGGAAGGTCGGCCGCATTCAGGAAAGGCACGGCCACAATGTAGACGAGCATGCGCGCTATGGGCACACTCACGGGTAACGTGTGTTTGTGTGTGTGCAATTTATTTAAGACGAGTAGGATACTTCATGACTTGTTTGCAGGGGTTAATCTAACCTTTCGAGTCTTGTCTTGTGTTTTCATGACGATGTGCGGCAGCTCGCCCGGAGTCGAAACCTTGAAATCGGTTGGGGTCCGTACTTGAGAAGCCTACTAGTTAGTCGTCGGGCCACAGATTATGTGTTATGTGCCCCTTTTTTGTGTACCCCTCTGCATTTGTAATACATTGCAGGAGAGAGGTCTTCAATTTTTTTATTTTTTTTATTTATTTGATCCTTCAATTTTTTTTTAAATTGGTTTCTAATCAAGACAGTGTACTAGTTCCAAATTCCCATATCTGTCTGGATATGAAAAATTCTATTGTCTTTTTCGATAGAGATCCAAAGAAGGATCACAATGATTAAAGCATTTGAATAATAGTATGTATAATACGACAGCGTATAAAACTGAGTGTCAAAAAACAAAAGAACACATTTTGATGTATCTAAACTTACATCAACTATGAAACTGACTGAAAAACGAAGGGAAAAACAAAAGAATAGATTCTAGCCCTGCTGACAAGTACACGTTCGCTACTACCAGTTTGTTTCTCTGAATACGTCGGGAGTCGAGCGAGTTCTATGATATAGTTACAACAGTGGATGATCCTAAAAGAGATGAAATAAAGGATTAGCCGAGCCCTTAATTCAGTATAGTGTTTGTTCGATTAGTTATACTTTGTATTGTGATCCGTCCTTTGGCCGAACACAAGAACAGAGTCACCACTAAAAGGTTGGGTGACTGTCTGATTATACTGCTGATTTGCCCCAGTTAAGATCACAGCTCGGGATCGTCAAATGGCATATTTAGGTCGGGAAGAACGAATTTCGAATCAGTTTTTGCTTCAGAGCATGGATTTGATGTCAATGATTCTTGTGCAATGTTACTGACAGTTGATTCTACGGCTGCAGATTTCGATACTTCATCTAAACGGGTTTGCAATTCAACCTGTATGAAAGTTGGAAGTAAATTTTTTTTTTGCAATACATGCGAAAAATGCAACAGCTATCAATAAAACAGAAAATAATTTCATTTCCTTCATAAGTAAACTGATAACATTTTCATGCAATTTTTGCTTAACAGGTGGATGCAGGAAAATCAAATTTCAAAACGCACTTTTTTGTATTTTTTGGAATTTCAATGATGTTTTTTATGTAAATAACACTCCTGCCAAAATTAAATCACAATAATTGATCAGAAAGGCTCGATGAGCCTGGAACCTTACACAGCTTTAGATGTCAATAATTTCATATCTAAAACCAGAACTACGAGGTCAACGTAATCATACACGTTCGAGCTATGTTAAGACTTTAAGTTCGCTAAAGAAGACATCATGATAGGCTTCTCAAAAGTCGCATTCATATCGTATAGGCAAATATTTTTCACTTTTTCTGTACACTATCAAAATGAAATCACGTTGGATAACGACACTATGTAGCTACATTGTATTTAGGTTTTTAAATACAACGCATCGCGAAACAAGCCTTGAAAATGGACTTATTAGTTGCTACATTTTGGCTGCAGTAATATACAACTATTAGAGAAGTCTTTAACAGAACCTACCATTTATCACATCACATCTTTTCGGCAATATGTAAGGACATATCTTTTTAAAAAGTTCAGGGAGGTAAAGCTATGAATATACACCGACCAAAAATTGCAGTGATTTCTGATTCCAATATAATGTAGTGCATCAAAAAAAAAAAAAAAAAA